TTGTACATTTGCTGTTGTGTTAAACTTATATTAAAGTTTTTCTTCATTACCCATTCTAAGCCGTCTCCAGCCATTATTAGTCTCAAAGTGGGTTCCTCATCATTGAATCTTAACAGATGTTTTGCAAAGTTATTTAATAAAGTTTAAAATTTTGTTGGTTGATCAACACGGTTTCACTAGGGGAAATCCTTGCATTACTAATATGTTATATTCTGTGAAGAGGTTATTGCTTATGTTGATGAGGGTAAAGGTGCAGTATTTTGATTTTTTTTTTCAAGAAAGCATTTGACAAGATGCCAAAGACTTTTAAAAAATTGTTAAGCACTTTATTGACCTTTCCTTTATCAATGACATTGATGTAAATCAAAATGACACTGAAATCTGATATCACTTGTGACATTAATCCAGTTTGACCTAAGTCCAATTATAACAAGTCTATGCCTTTTTTTCCCCTCTAGTCATTTTGTGATCCAACAAGCCAATTTATCCTTCACACCCTTACAGAAATGTCTTGTTGATATTAAGGTTTTGGATCTTGGTGGCTATGAGGAGGATGCTGGTACTTAACAAAATGATGTAGGTCAATTGATGAGTTGGATAAATAATTTGGTAGATGGATTTTAATTGCAAGAAACTACATGTGGGTTATCGTGATTTTAATTATAAGTATAATTTTGTAGGGAATAACCTTAACATTGTAGTATTATGGAAGAAAAGGATCTGATGTTTTGGTTGATAGTCTCTTAAGCCATTCAAGCAGTGTATTATTGTTAATGGAAGGGCATACAAGATTTTAGGTTGTATTTACAGAAATACTGATCATAAATCTAAAAAGGTTATAATTTCATTTTACAGGTCACTGATTGTAGTATGTTCAGTCTTGGGTTGCACTCTAGGACATTAAGTTGTTTGAATGGGTTCATAGGAGGACTATTAGGGTGATACTGGGTTGTAAAGGTTAGCTTATGAGGGCATATTAGGGTCTTGAAATTGTTTTCTCTTGAAACAAGAATAATTAGTAGGGATAAAATTACGGTTTTCAGGGAATTGGTAGTATAGATGCATCATCTTTTTTGTATTTAATTTCGAAATTGATAGGGCAAAGGAATACAAATATAAATTTTGGTAGGTTAGAAGTCATTTTTTGCTAAGACAGTTTTATTTTACTAACAGGGTGGTTACCCTTTGCAGTATGTTGTTTTCAGATATGACTGATGCAGTAAATATAAGGGAGTTTAAGGAAATGATTGATAACTATTTTTAGACAATTAAGACTGGATACAAGTTTTTGTTTTATCTTTGTTCCATCCACTTCACAAAAAAACAAAAAACAATTATTGATGGAGCAGAAGGCTCTTAAATATATGTAAATATGATGTTTACTATGGGGATAAAAAAATAAACTTAACCTGCCTCTTTAATTTCAGAGAATTTTGAACAATGTTCAGAAGACAGAACCTGTAAATAGTTGGAACAAATATTTTATTTGAACCAGATGATATGACGAAAATAATATGAAGGCACCAGAGGCAAGTTTTGTTTTAGGTTAAAACTACACCAGTCAGTGCTGTTTGCTTTGGCTCCATAGTTTCTTGGTCTTTTGAGGCCTTAATCTGAGAGATAGAGTGAGGTTTAGACATGGATCACTATACAGCATGTTCCTAATATGAATCCAAAGTCTACCATCTTTTTTCTGGTATTGTCATAGTCTCTTTTCTGAGTACATAAATTTGATATAAAGATTCATACATTTTTCAGTGAAGCTTTCATTCATTTTAACTATATATATATATATATATATAAGAATATAGAAGTATTATTTT